CTGCTCTTCCTTTTACCTGGAGAATATGCACTAGCAAGCAACTTGCTGAGACAAAATGAAAGGAAGTCCTCTTTTCCCTATAAAATTAACCACTTTTCCCTGCACAAAGAGTGCAAGCCCTTTATACTGGGAACACAACTGGCAACAGATTTCCATATTTCAGAAACTGAGTAAACAGCAGAGCATTACTCAAGAAAACAGGTACTATATCACCAGTTCTCTCACTGCTATTTCAAAAAGCCTCAATGTCAAGTCCCTCAACATCAAGTCAGGCACATTGTATGACCCATTACTATTTGTTGGCTTCAAAAGAAAGTGCCTGTTTGAATCTTGCTTGGAAGAGAATATAAGCTTTTTATAATCCCACACCATGTGTGTGTCTCATTTCCTTATCTCTTCTTATCTCTATGCAGGTTGCAAATTTGAAAAAGGCATACACATGCTATGAAACAGTATCTCCAGATTTCTTTACTTTTTTATTTCATGTCCACTGACATGAGAAGATATCTGGAAATCTCCCAGAGTTTTATACATATATACACAGAGGCAGAGTGCTTGATATTTATTTGAGTGATTGTAAATATAAGGTTTTAGATAGCTCTCCTTTACTAAAGTTTCCAACTGATCTTCTAACCAAGTGTGCTCTAAATGCACCGAAGATTGCTATTCTCTGAAGAGCAGCTGATTTAAAACATCTTTTTTCACAGAGCTACTCCTTAAAGTATTCACAGTCTCCTGTTTGCTTACACTAGGGTCAAAAAGGTCTTCATCATCACCTAGAAATAACCTTGTACAGCACGACTGAGTCTGTAGCCCTTTGGCACCAGGAGAAAGGGGAAGTAGGCATCGGCCTTTGGCCTCCTGTCACTTGTGCCTGCAGCTGAGGTACCAGCACGAGGTCCCCCACTGTCTGTGTCTCCCCCATTTCCAGTCAGTTACATTGAGCCTTTTTTATTAATGTGTTATAGTGCATGAATAATCAGTCTTGACGCAGAAGTAGCCTTGGACTTCTAAGAGCACAGATGATATTAAACGTGACCACTGCGCTCATTCAGGCTGCGAGGAGTTCAGTGTCTATGTGCAGTCCTATTAAAAGCATATCGACCTCTGCTTGAATAACCTTTGTACAAGGTTATAAAATGGATATTTTTTCCCCTAATTGAAGCACTGCTTGAAGCTCTAGAGATACAATTCCTACTGGCTTTGACCAGAGAGGGGTAAGTAAAACTCAACACCCATTTGTGGAGCATAGCTGGCAAATGCTCCTCCAGGTCATTCTGTTTCCTGTTAACCTCAATTTTGTTTCTTCCTCAAAATATTTTTAGAATAGCAGGAACTTTTCAATATGCCTTTATTCTAATTGTATATTTGATTTAAATGAAAACTCACAAAACACCCCCAGCTGTCTCTTCTGCCTTCAATTTGAGTTTTTCAGAAAATGATCTTTCTGAAAATGAAATGCTGCACCACAGTGATTCATCACATCTCCTGACAAACAATCCCACCCAGCATTCACCAATCTGTCAGCTTCTCTTGTTTGTCTCTGTGCTACCAGCCCTCAGCCAGGCAAAACGTCTATCGCAAAACAGGGACTGTAATTACTATATTAAATATTCTGCAATGTGAATCCGCTGCGTTGTCCCATACGCAAGCCAAGACCCTCACAAAGCACAACTCTATCTCATGAAGGAGCACAATGAAGCATAATAAAAGCTCACAGCAGGCAAACCATTACTCTAAATGAGATGCCTATTTTTAGTCATGTGAAATATCAGAGATTTCCTTACAACAAAGGGTTTCTGAAAGGTTATGCAGTAAGAACCTTTCACCAATCCGGAAGTGAAGCAGAGAAAAATTCTTTTTTTTTTTTCCTTGGGATTCATTGGTCAGCAGATGAGAGGAGTAAGCTTCAAGCTGGCACCCCATCCATGTCAATTCCTATGACTTCTGGCTGCAGAAACATTTGGAGGCTTGCTTATGCTTATCAGTGCCATCAGATTTCAGTGGTGTTTCTACTAAGACAAATTAAATGTGCCCTGTTGCTTAGTGTGGCAATCCACTACAATCCACGACTGCAAGAGAACCACTTCTTAGAGTGGGGGATGCACTTTAAAGTAAGATCCTGTTTCCACTGCAATGAGCACAAATACTTTCTCACTGGCTTCCATTAGGCCCTAATTTGGCTCTTAAATCCCTCATTGTCCTACTCAAGAGACTTTCTCAAAAACATATACCACTCTAAGGTAGACAAGTTATGTGCAAAGAATTTCAGGCAATGACAGAAACTCAGTATTTGAACTAGAGAAGAGAAAGCTACAAGAGATGCAGCAGGACTGGAGACAAACTGCCACAGAGGTCAGGAAAAGTGGCTGGAAGCAGC